AGTGCCTGGTGTGCTAATGAGCTCCCTGACACCGGGAGTATTCAAGCAGACCAAAAGCCATGTAAAGTCCTGTGAGCTGGAGCATTGTGAAGGCAGGCCTGTGCGGCTGTGGACAAGCTGAGCCTCACTGTGGGCAGCAGGAGTAGATTGATCCATGGGCCGAGACGTTCGCAGACTGCCTCCAAAATCATTAGATCTGGAAGCCTTTGGGGTCAGAGCCACAGAAAATGCAAGAGGGCAGGGGGCCAGCAGGACCAGCGTGAACACAGGATGAGGGCTCCGCCTGAGCCCACGCCTTCCACACGCCAGCCACATAGCTCCTGCTTGGAGGCTACACGGTCAGCGGGAGAAGCCTGGGCTCAAGCCTCCACCTGGCTGCTTAGCAACACCAAGACTTGACTCAGTTTCCTTTTATGTCAAGTGGAGAATTAAGGGAATTCTGCCCAAAGCGCTGGCAGGCCTCCGCTGGAGAGAAGTGAGCCAGTGACAAACTCGTTCACACCACGATGTGAACACCTGGGCCCTGACCCTGTCCTGGAAACAGTGGGAGAGATGACACCCGAAAGGTCAAGCGGAGAAGTGCCAGCCAGGGGATCTCAGCCGCGGTAAAGGTCCATTTCAGGTTCTATACAGTTTTGGCTCTTGAGCTATGGATTTAGATAAATTTTCGCAGGCCTTCAAAGACAGATGAAGACGAGCCCGGCCCGCGTGGCTCAGTGTTTGAGCGTTGACCTATGAACCAAGAGGTCACGGTTCGATTCCCCGACAGGGCACATGCCCAGTGTAGGGTGTGCAGGAGGCAGCTGATGAATGATTCTTTCTCATCATTGATGTTTCTTATCTCTCTCCCTCACTTTCCCTCTCTGAAATCAATAAAAATATATTTAAGAAAAAAAAAAAACACAGAAGAAATGGGTGAAGACAAAACAGAGTATGGCCTTGGTCTTTTTGAAAGGCTAATGAAGTAGCTCTCCCAAGTGGCCAACATTTAAAGAAAACAAGCCACACAATGCTGACCAGGACATGAATCTCACAACATTATTGGCAGAAGTATGAAATGGAAAATGGTCTGGAAGATTCTTATAAAACTGTACACACACCTATCCTAAACCCAACAATTCCAATCCTAGACATTTACCCAAGTGAAAATATATGTCTACAAAAAGATGTATTCTTCTTTAAAATATTTTTTTATTGATTTAGAGAGGAAAGGAGAAGGAAAAAGAGATGGAAACATTAATGATGAAAATCATTGATCGGCTGCCTCCTGTATGCCCCCCATGGTGGATGGAGTCCACAACATGGGCATGTGCTGACCAGGAATCGAATCATGACCTCCTGGTTCATAGGTCAAAGCTCAACCACTGAGCCATGCTGGACAGGCGAAAAGATGTATTCTTGAATGTTCGCAGCAGCTGTATTAATAATAACCCAAAACCTACAGGTTCATTAAAAGGCAGAGGGGGTGGGTAAACTAATTGTACTATGTTCTTACAATGGGTCACTACTCAGTAACAAAAAGAAATTATCGCTGAATCATGAACAGCATGGGTGCCTCAGAAAAACAGTATGCTGAATGGAAGAAGCCAGAACAACTGAGTACACACTCTGTGACGGCCTTTGTAGAACATTCTAGAGGGGGCTAAGCTTCTCTGTGGTGGAGGAACCCAGAGCCCGGTTGATTCTGCAAAAGGAGCAGGGGTTCTGCTGGGAAGGAGCGTTAGGGAACTTTCTGGAGTTCTGGTGGCGTTCTGCACCTTAATGCAAGTTTACACATTCGTCCCAACCCAGTGGGTATATGCTTAACATTTGTGCTTTTCACTGTATCTAAATTTTACCTTGAAAAACAGAACAGCATAGACCAGGGGTCCTCAAACTTTTTAAACAGGGGCCAGTTCACTGTCCCTCAGACCGTTGGAGGGCCGGACTATAGTTTAAAAAAAAACTATGAACAAATTCCTATGCACACTGCACATATCTTATTTTGAAGTAAAAAAACAAAATGGGAACAAATACAATATTTGTATTTGCATGTGGTCCTGGCATAGACAAATGTTGAAGTCTAGGTGATGTTACGGTGGTGAACGATTTAGGGCGAAAGGCACTGATGTCTGCAGTGACTTTGAAATTCATCAGAAACCAGAAAACAGGGGTTGAAGGATGCAGGGTAAATAGATGGGCAGAGACGTGATGAAATGAATATAGAAAATGTTAACCGGAGAATCCAGGGTGTTCACCTTCACCGTTTTCCCAACTTTTCCGTGCGTTTAAAATTTTTCATAATAAATAAGGAGGGAAAGCTGGCTCCTGGGAAGCCCTTGCTCCGAGGATCACGGACACAGATGGCTCTCCGCAGTCGCAGAAGGCCTCCATCTCCTCTTATGGGGGACTTTGTCGTGTTGACTGGGCGCCTGTTAAAATCCTGCTTTTATAACTTCGGCATTGAGTATCCTTAAAGCAGCTGCAAAAGTTGAGAGAAGAAGGTGTCGATGCTCATTTCCTGATAGAAAATGAGGATGCAAACTCACATCAGCTGATTCCATCCTCTTATCCTGACTCCAAAAGGAATCCGATGCTTTTTACAAAAATGTGCTCTCCAGGGAGTGGTCGCCAACCTTTCGGACCTCACGGACCACCAGTGGTCCACGGACCACCGCCTGGCGACCGATTGCTGCTCCAGGGAGTGGCTTTCTGGAGGCATCAGCTGTTAATGAATAAAGTGACAGCACCTGCAAATCAGGTCTGCTTGCAGGAGGCCATGCAGCCACTCGCCAGCTCCCTGAGAGGTCATGCTGAAGCTGACTTCTGTCCACAGGCCTTCCTGACGGCTCTCTGGGACAGGCCCCACTGTGGTGACCTCTTGGTTGATGACCTCCAAGATGGTGACCTCTAAGGTAGTGACCTCAAAAGGTGTAACCTCTGGAATGGTGACCTCTATAAGGTGGAAACCTCTGAGCTGGTGACCTCTGAGCTGCTGACCCCTGAGCTGACTTCTGAAAGAGCCTGGCTCCACCCCTTACCACTGAGTCACCTCGGACAAGCTTTCTATACACTGTGAGCTTCATCTTCCTCTCCTGCAGGTAAGTACAGCTTTTCCAGAAATGTTTGTTTTTATTATCACTATTAAAGCACATTTAAGAAGGCAAGACCACCTTCAACACTCCATGTTGAAAAATCAAATGTGTGACCCAGGCCGTGTTTACTTAATTTGTAATGCCTTCTAGTCACCCATGAAATGTCTTGGACCTTTTGCTGTTAGGCAAAAAAATGTTATCAATGGTAAGTTGTTATTATTATTATTTTAGGTGAAAGGCTGGCTAAAACATACCTTCCTTTTGCTCATGGTTCTCAGCACGTCTCACCTGCTGGAGGCTGGGGCACAGGAGGTCTTAGCCTGCATTGGTCAGGAGGCGCTGGTCTAAATGCCTTGCTGGCTTGAGACCTGGAGAGTGTGGCCAAGAGCAATCTCATCATCACATCTCCCGCCCCTTATCTGCACCACACAGGCCCTGGGAGATAAAGCCACCACAAAGGGCTTTGAGGTTGGGGTGAGACCGCTCGGGACAAAGCATTATTTATTACTCAGTTATGGAGAGACAGGCTGATCCAGCTGAAACCTGGCAACGCACTGCTTTAATTCAGCTGGGAGCCTTTCGTTCCTTCATGGCTAGGGGGAAATTTTATAATTAAATTCACGGGCAAAGAACATGGCTAGAAATCTGCCTTTGAACACAAAAACAGCTCCTGACACCAGGTTTAAGAACAGAACAAGGTGCTTCCATCCAAATAACAGACTCCGGACAGGTGGGGTCAGGCCCACAGTGCTTCAAACGGCAGCCTGGAGACGGGCCCCACACCCGTGCTCCCCGCTGTCAGCCCCGGGAGGCGCCCTGGGCGGTTTTGTGGAATTTAATTTTGTCTGCTGATTGATGGAAAGGATTTGCGGATTCCAGGTATTTCAGTGAAAGCAATGCTTCTGCCATTGGCTCCTGTCCATACTTTACTGAAGAAAGTGAAAGGAACACTTCCACTCCACATCCTGTGATCCTGACAGCTAAGTGCAACGTGTGATCCTGGGGAGGATTCTGAACCGGAAGAGCAGCCAGAGGGGGCATCGGATTTGCTGTAGACGACATAAACATGCAGCTCGCTTGTATGACTCCATTTTCACTCATCATCAGTGGCTACATCTCCCCCTCCCCCAAGAAAGGTGTCCCTCTGTCCCCCAGAGGAAGTCATCTCTGGACAAGTCATTATTTGAATGTTTTTCAAATCTTGCAGACCTTCTCAGTGGAATGGGAAGGGCAATGAGAGCCTCCCTTACTCATCCCAGGGAAGGAACCTGTGAGGACAATGACAATGGGCCACGCCAGCAGCACTGACCCCCCAGGAGGGTGTCCCCTGAAGATGCCCCATTTCAAGCCATCCTGGTCCTGAGCAAAATCTACCACCATTTTCTATTTGTTCAAATCTACTGATGGTGGAGGTGGTAACAAAACAGTCTCAGATAGTCACAATAAACGTTAACCAGACTACCCTAGCTGGTTTGCTGGCTCAGTGAATAGAGCGTTGGCCTGTGGACTGAAGGGTCCTGGTTTGATTCCAGTCAAGGACATATGCCCGGGTTGCAGGCTCAATCCCCAGTAGGAGGCAGCTGATCAATGATTCTCTCTCATCATTGATGTTTCTATCTCTCTCTCCCTCTCCCTGCCTCTCTAAAATCAATAAAAATATATTTTAAAAAATAATAAAATAAAAAATAAATGTTAACGAGACCTACATGTTTTTAATGTTTAAAAGGGGCACTATATTTAAACAGGGACAGTGGATTAGATGAGTTATGTTGTTTCCTGATTTTGATAACTGTGTTCTGGTGCCATAAGAGAATGTAGCACATGTGTAATGAAAATATATACATAGACATTATGTATATGAAAAGATGTATACATAGAAAAAAATTATATATACATGTGTACATAGTCATATGAAAGGATATATATATATACAGTGTCTTGTCTTGTCTTGGGACTGCTCCAACAGAATACCACAGACTGACTTATAAACAAGAGAAACTTATTTCCACAGTCTGATGGCTGGAAAGTCCAAGGCTCTGGCAGATCCGATGTCTGGTGACATTGCTTCGTTCGGTTCCTGGACAGCCGTCTTCTCACTGTGTCCTCACATGGCAGCAGGGGCGAGGCGGCGCCGTGAGCTCTCTGCTCCCTTGGACCTCAGCTCCTCACAGCCCAGCACCCTGCATGGCGCGGGATCAAAAAGTGCACTCCTGTAGCCGGGGTGGCGGATCTGATACAAATCTGCCCTTGGCAGCCGCCCGCCGGTGACCTCACACCTGGCTTGTGTCTGAGCCGTGTGGTAATGACCTAAAGCTGGAGTGGGGCGTCTCCGGCTTCAGGACGGGCGCGTTGCTCAGACAAATGAAATACGGTGGCGATGACCTCAGGATCTTAAAATAAATTTCACTCGGCCACAGTCAAGTTGCTAAGGCCTAGTAGTGTATCTTGGTATTGCTTTACTTATCTTCTAAATTCTACGATATGCAAGAGGTACCTTTCGGATGGATAAGAAGTGGTGAGAATGCCTCCTCCCCCGCCCCTCCCCCCCTCCCCTCACCACATAGAGCCCATCCCACAGGGCAGCCACACTGGACTGAGCACGATGAGGTCACCCAGCTCCCCGCAGACGTGGAAAACCAATGGCTCCCAACTGTTTGGACTAGAGATGCTGAAACCCAGGTTTGGTTTCCCAGAATTCTCCTCCCTCCTCCAGCGCAGCCGCTGGTAAGCCAAATACGTTTTTTCCCTGACACAGATTTTGAATAAATGCTGCTATTAAAGATTCCACGGAGCTTCTGATAAACATGGAAAAGTCAGTTGCCAGTTTCTGCCTTATTGTTTCAAAAACAAGTTGTAAAGGCTACGCTCTCCCGTCTCGCACCGAAATCTGCTGAATGGCCTGGTTTTTCCCTTTGCCCGTGGGACACAGAGAAGACAAGTCATCCATGCTGATCTTTGTCCTGAAGGGATGCTGAGTCAAGGAAGCAGATGTGTCTTCCGGAGCCACCCGTCCTGTCCCCGGCAGGGAGACGGCGGACGCTGAGCGGAGGTCAGCCTCAGTTCCAGGCGATGAGCAGGAAACTCCCAAGATAAGCTCCCAGACATGCTGGGCAGCTGGCCTCGTGCGGATTAGGCAAAGTGGGCATGGGGGCTGCTGTGGGGTCGGAATAAAAGGGTCCCCACACCTACAAGTCACCTGGCAAGTCCAGGGACCTGGATAATGGAGCCACCTGTGAATCCTTAGGGAAGCTGGGGCGGGAATGGGCTTTAGACGTAATCACAGGAAGCAAACACCTCCCATTTCACTTGCTATTTTTTGGCTCACTTACCTGTTTGTTTGTTTGTTTTTTCCTCCTTCCCTGTGGAAAGGGCCACGTCTGAGCCTTACGGAAACCCGCGGTGCTATGCATTCACTCATCAGTCTCCCCCACCAGCTTCCAAACCAGGTCACACTGCCCTGTGTCTCCGTGTCACTAGCTGGGCAAACACCTTCCCCGCCTCCCTCTCGGGTGGTTCTGGAGGACAAATTGGGGCCACCGTAGCCTAGGCTACCGGGGGAATGCCCGCATTCAAACACAAATCTCTACTCTCGGCCGGACTCCAACATCGAAGAGGAGTTGGCTGCACTTGAAAACGTCCATTTTCAAAGCTAACAAAGCTGACTTTGAATTCTCAGCCCTCCCCTCTACGAGGCTGACCCAGCACAGCTTGGCCGACTCCAGGGAACGCTGGACTTAGCTGCTGTGACACAGATCGCGGGAAAGGGGGATTTCCCAAGGTGGCACGGGGGTGGGGGTGAGGGTGGGGAGGCGGTAAAAGCAAGGACACTGGGATCCACGGGTCTTGAGAGTCTGAAGGTGGGAGCATGCATGGACGCCTGCGGCCACCTGCTTTCTGCCTCCACAGCTTCCGCGTCTCACCCTTTCAGATCTCACCCAGCCGACTGTGGTGAGGGGAAGAGTCAGTTCTCGGCAGGAAGATCACAGCTGACGTCTGGTGCAGCCACAGCCTCCTGATGGGGCCTCAATGCATTAGGAAGGTCACCCCACCCCAGATCCATCCTTGCCGATCGGATTGGGTCCCCACCACCACCACCACCGCATGCAGATTGGATGGCAACAGGCAGCCTGCATTGATTATTTAGGGCAAATTAATTTAGAAACAAGTTTTTTAACATCAGAAGAACTGGTTCCAGATGCCCTGTTATTACCCAAAGACCACGAGAAATAGATTGGACCCTGTGACAATGTTCCCTTATTGATTTTCCAACTAAATGGACATAACACACACACCCTTATCGCCTTGGAGTGGGGCTTTAGAATCCTACCAGCACTGAGAGCTGCCGCGTTTGTTTCCATTCTCTACCATCCAAAAGGCGTGACTCCACATGGAAAGAATGAGCTTCATGCCAATGGCCGGGGTTGACAGACTGACCGTCAGTTCAAGATTAAACTTGTGGTCCTGGCCAAGTTGGTTAGAGAGTCGTCCGGATACGCAAAGGTTGCAGGTTCGATCCCTGGTCAGGGCACATACAGGAAACAACCAAGAATGCAGAAATAAGTGGAACAACAAATTGATGTCTCTCTCTCCCTCCCTCTGGTACCAAGCAGGTGGTCAGCAGCATATCCCTCTCTCTCTCTCTCTCTCTCTCTCTCTCTCTCTCTCTCTCCCCCTCCTGCCCTCTCCCTCCTTTCCTTTGTCTCAGATCAATAAAAAAGAAACTTTTTAAAAATGATGAGACTTGGTGGAATGTCAAACCTTGATGCTGAAATGTTGCATGTTTGTATTCCTGTCACTCGTGTATTCAGTTGCACAATCCCCAAGAGCCTAGTCTGCTCACAGACCTTTGATCTGCGCCCAGGGCCTCGGGGCCTCTGTGCCACCATTTCCACCAGGAAGAGCTGTTGCATCAAGGCCGGCTCTCTCCAGATGAAATGACAGCACAGGGATTTCCCTGGGAGGCCACCGAGCTCAAAGATGGAGCACAGGGGGCAGGAGGGCTGTGCTGGCAGCCAGGAGGAGGGCTCCGACGTCAGTTGACCCCGCACAGGTCACCCAAGTCGGCCCACTTGTGTTTCTTGCTTCTTTTTGTTGTAACAGCTTTACGGTGACTCCCATGTAATTTGCCCATTTAATGCGTTAAGATTCCATCTTTTTAGTATATTCACAGCGTTGTACAGTCATTACCACAATCATGTTTAGAACAATTTCATCAACCCAAAAAGAAACCTTTTAGCGATCACCTCCCCAATCCTCCCAAGGCCTTCCCACCCCCCAGCCCTGGGTGACCACTGACCTACATTCAGTCTCTGTGGATTTGCCTCTTCCGAACATTTCATGTAAAAGGGATCATACACATGTGGCCTCTGTATTTCACTTCTTTCACGTAACAGACTGTTTTCAAGGTCCACCTATGTTGCTGCAGGTGTCGGCATTGTGTTCCTTTTTATGGCTGAATAATATTCCACTGTACGGAGAGAACACGCTTCATTTTCCCACTTGTCTGTCAATGGGCATGTGGGTTATTTCCACCTTTTTTAAAAAAATTTATTGATTTCAGAGAGGAAGGGAGAGGGGGAGAGAGAGCTAGAAACATCAATGATGAGAGAGAATCATTGATTGGCTGCCTCCTGCACGCCCCACCCTGGGGATGAAGCCTGAAACCCAGGCATGTGCCCTGATTGAGAACTGAACCGTGACCTCCTGGTTCATAGGTCGACACTCATCCACTGAGCCGTGCCAGCAGGGCTGTTCCCACCTCTTGGCTCGCGAGAAGCGTGCTGCGGCTGTTCCTTGCGCTCAGCGTTCTCACCGAGAATTAATTGTGTCTGCTCTTTGCACTGAAACACGCTCTGGGGTGGTGCCATTGCTGCCCCTTCTCTGTCTCCCCAACAGGACGGCAGGGAGCACCCAGGTCTTGTGAAGCACCCCAGGCATTCATCTCTGGGAAATTATGACCAGCATCGCCCTGCTTAGTGTATGATCCAAGGACACGGGGGACCCAGTTCCTGCCACCGGTGGCCTGTGCGTCAGCTCAAATCCAATGTAAGTGTTTTCAGCAGGTCCACTCTTCTGAGAGGCCTGACCATGCACTCATGTCCCTGGCCCTGAGGACCCTGGATGGGGTGAGTCCATCCAGCCCACGTCACCACCAACCACCAGCTCAGGGGCCTGCAGGAGGCTCGGGGGGTGGATGGCAGTCATTGCGGGCCTGGGCAGTGCTGTGGCTGTGGGACTGACATCTCGAGGGCTGTGCTCTCGCCGAATCCTGCCACGAAATTTGGCCATTCACCAGTGCTCGCGTCTGTAAACTCAAGGATCAGTTTCATAACGCCTATCAAAATGTCATGATGTAAGTTGCTGCTCCGATGCCCACACCCAAACACAGTCATTAAAAATCCTTGGGCCCTGGCCGGGTGGCTTGGTTTGTTGGAGCATCTTCCTGGACACCAAAGGCTTGCAGGTTTGATTCCAGGTCAGGACGCATATCTAGGTTTTCGTTTCAATACCCCATGGGGATGTGTAGTGGAGACAGACATTGATCTCTCTTGATCTCTCTCTCTCTCTCTCTCTCCCCCCACCCACTTCCTCTCTAAAATCAATAAACATATCCTCAGATGAAGATTTGAAGAAAAAAAATCCTTGGAGCAAAACCTTTCCAGCAGAGTAGAGTAAAATTCTCACCTATGCTTTCTTTACTTGGACTCAATCCCACTGAAATCGGCGTATTACTTCTCCTGTTCTCTCACTGGGCGATTGGTAGGAATCGTGCCTAAAACTGCACCATATCCTGCCCCCCTGGGAATGAAACACTTCCCTCTGGTATTAGTCAGCTCAAGCTTCCATAACAAAATATTACAGACTGGGTGGCCAAGCCACAGAGATTTACGTCCTCACGGTCTAGAGGCTGGAAGTCCCAGATCGAGGTGTCAGCGGGGCTGGTTTCTCCTGAGGCCTGTCTCCTTGGCTTGAAGACACCCCCACCCCTCCTTCTGCCTCTTCAGGTGGTTGTCCCCCCATGTGTCCCTGTGTCCTGATCTTTTCTCTCAGGACCCAGTCAGATTGGATTAGGGTCCATTCTAATGACCTTGTTTCTACTTATCGCCTCTTTAAAGGCCCAGTCTCCAAATACAGCCACATTCTGAGGTACAGGGAATTAGGCCTCAACATATGACTTTGAGGGGAACAGAGCCAGCCCATAATACCCCTTGGAGTCTGACGACTATCATTCTCTATTTAAGGCAGCGCTAATAATTGAATGGAACTATACGTCCAATTTCCACAAAACATTCCCTCTACTCGCTGCCTTTTCACCAGCTCAGAGGTACATTAACATCTGTCTCGAGTGACTGGCTCCTGGAAGTTGCGATAAACAGCTTCAATGCTTCAAAAGGTGACTATGTGCCACTACCAGGCTTTTTGTGTTTCTAGAAAAATAACTTATTTTAGCGAATCTGCCATTTT